ATATTGGTATTGTTCATGCGAATGTTTTGCTTAAAGGATGAGTATTCGGTGGGAAGACCACGAATAACAGCATTCACCACATCACGTTCAGGGATCTCTTCTTTCAAGGCATCGAGATCCGATAGAATAGTTGCCACATCATCAAGGTATTGTGTCATAATTTTGGTACCTTTACGAAGAGTGTGGAGTTTGTCCCGAAGCTGATAAACATGAGCGGTGGACACGGAGTTGTACCGTGCGGCCAAAGCATCCCAGAGGGCAGCAGATGTGGTGAAGCCGCGAGCATGTTTGTGAACGGAGGGGCTGATGACCGCTAGGAGGCAGGCGCGGATCTGTGTGTCAACGATGGTCCAGGAGGTATACTCTAGATTAGGGACGGTTTTATCGTTGTTGGAGATAGTTGGCGCCGGGGCTGCTTCATGACCATCAATCCATCCAAGGAGGAGATTAGCTGAAAGAGCTGTCTGGACATTGAGAGACCATGCCGGATAATTTGTTTCGGTGAGTTTTTCTGGGATTAAGTTGTGGAGACTCCGAAGCAAAAGTTTTACTCCGGAGGGTAAGGACGCCAAAGGATCCGACGGGGCTGCCATGGTGGGCGGCGGTCGGAAAAAAAGAGAGGCTAGGTTTTTGAGAGCCTTAGCTCCGATACCATAATACAATTTGATAATAACTTGTCTTATTGAATATTGAGAGATATGGCCCTATATATAGGGAATACAAGAATAATCAAAGTACAAGTAGGAAAGGAAAGAATAATCCTAGTAGGAAAGGAAAGAAATATCCTAATTTAATTATACTTCCTAATAGAAGACAAGGTCATTTATGTGGGATCATTTTAAGTATGCAAAAAACATCATTTGAAGGTGTATTGCCGCATGTCTCCATGTTACAAGCAACTGGATTTCTCTCCGCCTCAACAAAAGACCTTCATTTCTTCCACCTAAACGATTCTCCAGAAAAAGTGATGTAAAATGGACCTTTTAGCATTGTGAAGGATGATGGCTTTGTGGAGTATTCATCAACATTAAATCCAACGTTTAAACTTCCTAGCTGATGAAAATTTACTAGAGATTGTTTTAATATATACATAGAAGAATCAAAGGTCATAAAAAACTCTTGCAGGCAAACGTGTTTCCTTAACTATAGACACTTGGTCTTCTATCCAAAATATTAACTATATGTGTCTCACTGCGCATTGGGTTGATGATAGTTGGAGGTTGGTCAAGAAAATTTTGATTTTTTGTCTAATTTCTAATCTTAAAAGGGACACAATGAGTAAGTTGGTGTGTGCTTGTTTGAAGAAGTGGGGAGTGACTAAGGTTTTTATAGTCACTATTTACAATGAAGCTTATAATAATGGTGCAATTGAATATTTAAAGAAAGAATTAAGAAATATTTGCACTAAATAGCACTAAAACTTAAGTCATTTCTCTAAATAGTACTTATACTATTTTATTCCCTAAATAACACTTAATAATGTCCAAAAGTAAGAATAATGTCCAGTGATGACAAACATTTACTCGAATAATCACTAATTGATAATGACTAAAAGTGCTATATTGGGAAAAACACATATGATGCTATTGAAGGAAAGTCATTATGTTTAATTGTTATTCAAGTAAATTTCCCAAGAATTAATGGATCCTAATTTGATACTTGATGGTACATATATGCACTTGAGATGTTGTGCTCATATTATCAACCTAATTGTGAGAGTTTGAGAGATTGTTAAGAAGACCCTTATAATTCTATTATTAAGATTATGAATGATGTAAGGTACGTTAGATCTCCCGTATCTGACTTTGGAACTTTAAGGCTTGTGTTGAATAAGAGAAGATAGTGTGTGGGAAATAAGTGTAACATATAATATAGACACGAGGTGGAATTCCACGTTTTTTATGTTGGACACAGTGATTATGTTTGAAAAGGCATATGGAAGACTCATTCTAGAGGATGGTTTTATGGACTATTTCGTTGACGATTACGAAGAAGATTTTGAAGCTAACACGAGGAAAAAAAGAAGAAAAAGAAAGTTGTTGGAATCCTTGCGAGAATGATTGAACAAATGGGAGGTACTTTGTTGAGTTTCTTAAAATATTCTTTACCATTACTTTGAAAATTTCAGCTTCTAAGCATGTTACTACGAATCTGTTCTTTAACGAGATTGTGAAGATACATGCAAAAATTTCAAAGATGTGCTCTTGTGGAGAAAAAAATGTTGGAGTATGGGAATAAGTATGTAAGAGAAATATGACAAATATTAGGACAATATTGAGAAAATCAATGTCTTTTTTATATTGTTCTTGTGTTGGATCCTTGGTAGAAAATGAACTATGTAGAGTTGTGCTTGAAAAAAATCTATGAAAATAATAGAGAAAAAAACAAGCAATGTTCCTTCAAAGAGTGAAAAACACTCTAGAGTTTTTATATAAAGAGTATCTTAGGCTTGCATCAAGTGGAAAGGTCATGGGTGGTTCAACTTATTCGAGTGTTGCTCCTATTTCCTTAAATATTGATGATGATGATTTCCTTGAAAAGGAATTTGAAAGAGATTTGTTAGTAGCACAAGGCAAAGAAAATAAGTCTGAAGTTGATATTTACTTGTGTGATGATGCTCTACAAAGTATTAGTGAGGATTACAATATATTATTATGGTAGAAATCGAACTCAGCTAAATATCCCACTCTGAGTCAAATTGCAAAAGGTGTGCTAGTGATGCCAATTTCAACCATAGCTTTTGAGTCGGTATTGAACACCGTTGAAAGAGTTATAGATCCATTTAAGAGTTTACTTTATCAAAGAACTGCAGAAGCTCTCACATGTTCTCAAGGTTGGTTAAGGTCAAGTCCAATAGATATTCAGAATGCACTTGATATTGCATTCGCTGAGTATAAAAATAAACTTGAAGAGATTAAAAGGTGTAAATTTGTTTACATATATTCTAAATATTTATTTAGCTATTATATACAATTAATAATTCATAACAATTTACATTTTAATGTGATATTTTAACATTGTGTAAATGAATTTGCAAACACTCCAAAGCATTTGGAAGAATACACTCTAGATGATTGAAATGGTAACACTATATATAACATGGAATTGTTTTTGTTGGCTACTAATTATGATGTAAAAAGTTTTTAATGCTGTTTAAATTTTTGAAATGATAACACTATAATGCTTCTTATTGTGCAATGTTTTAAATGTTGTGTCGGGCTAGCGATGATGCTATGCCATACTACTACTGAGATTGTTTTTGGCAAGTTAAATTGAGTCAAAGAATTAAAGTATCGCTAGAAAGTTACTGTTGGGATAATAATTTTTGTTGGCAAGAAAATGTTATTTCAAGACAGTCAAGCTACTGTTGTTGCTTGCATGCTTGTTGTGTTATGCTACTATTATTTTTGTTTATGTTTTTTTAAATAGGCTAAACTCCACCATTGGTCCTTCAACTTTATCAATTGTGCACGATTGATCCTTCAAGTTTTAAAAGTCCATAAATAGTCCTTCAACTTTATGAGTTATGCACGATTGGTCCTTCAAATTTTAAAAGTGCATAAATAGTCTTTCAAGTATACGTCAGCCTTTCAGATGAGGTCCTTTTGACAGTAAATGTTAAAAGTTAAATGGAATTCTACCTCCATGTAATACGGAGTAGTCGTACCTAGTGGAATTTACTCGTATTATATGAAACTAGTATTTCGTTTAACTTTTAATATTTATTGTCAAAAGGACTTCATATGGAGGGCTGACGTGTACCTGAAGGACTACTTATGGACTTTTGAAACTTGAAGGACCAATGGTGCAGAACTCATAAAGTTGAAGGACTATTTATGGACTTTTGAAACTTGACGGACCAATCGTGCATAACTGATAAAGTTGAAGGACCAATGGTGGATTTTAGCCTTTTAAATATTAGTGTTGATGAAGTGCTAAAATTTTCTAAATAAAATGTTGAATGCTCTTTTGAAACTACTTTGATTTTTTATTTAAAAATCCCAAATAATAACCAAAATCAGTATTTGTTTATCCCAAACCTTAACAAAATGATATATTAGTATCGAGATTGGTATGACGTAAAATCTCATACCAAGCCGGAATATTTGGTAGGATATCATTACGAGCTAAATAAAATTTTAACAATTAGTTTTAGCAGTTTAGATAAAATTTCAACAATGAAGATTATTTAGAAAATATTAACGCTTAACACTACATATAAATTATCTTTTTTCAAAATACTAACGCTAAACTATAAGATTATTTTCAAACATACGACTACAATATTACTTAGTCTGGATTGTATCGGACTGAAACCCAAAATTTAGAAATTCGTGGACTTCACATCGGTGGGCCTATACTTTTACTTCTCCGGGGAGAATGTGATATCAATCAGATATCGGGAGTAGAGAGCCGAACCCAGAAGCCCGACGGAATGGGAGACGCAGGCGCTGCCTCTGCAGCAACTCCCCGGCCAACCACCACCGCCGATGAAGATGCGCTTCTCAAGCAATTCTTCGCCGAAGTTAGTGAAGTTGAGCGCGAAAATGAAGTCAGCAGGTACCCCTCTTACTTTGCTGCCTGCATCTCTGGACGTTATCGTTCTTGTCTATCAATCTGCGTTCATTAATTTCATTTTGAAAATTTTAAAAGCCTTTCTGAATGGTGTGTTTTTCAAAATTGGATTGGTGTGTACACGCCGTTTGATGCAGGTTTCTTAATGTCTTGCAAAAATTAGCATTATCTTATGGATTAATTCATAGATTTTGGAATTGAAAGAGAAATTGGGGAATATCGGATCTTGGGTTAGCTGAAAGTGTGTTCTTTGATGATTGATTATCTTCTGTTGTATGAATTGATAGATGTGTTTGTTTGATGACTGAGTTCTTATCTCAGGTAATAATAGGTTAAAAAAGATGTTTTTTTTTAAATGAATGAAGTTGTATCATCTGTAGTAATAGGTTAGAGAAAATGATTTTGCTTGATGAATGTAGCTGCATCACCTGTAATAATCGGTTAGAGAAGTGTTGGTGCTCATTCTTTAGCATATACCAGTCGAGCACACAAGTAGGGATGACTAAGGGCAGAGCACCCAATCAATTATCATTTCCCATTCTTAATTTTGTTTTTAAAAATATCTCATACATATCCGTTTTAATTTTAGATCCCACAAACAGTTCGCTCAGTGATTCATATGTACTAGCATCATGAACCACTACTAGTGCAGGAGTAAAATGATGCGAGTATTATAAGTAATGATGCGAATATTATAAGTAACCAAGTTACACTAAGGATTATTGTCAAAAACATCATGGCAAGCCATCACAATAAGCCAAAAGAGCTCAAGAGTCTACAGCCGACTGAAGCTAAAAATGACATCCTGCTCATGTTTTACAACAACGAATTCACGTACTCCCTCCGTCCTATATCTTTCTTCCCGTTGCGCAAAACGAAGAAAAATCCCAAGTTTTTTCAATCTATTTTATTTAAATATTGGTATAGAAATAAAAAATAAAACATACATATTTAAAAACTACATCAAAAGTTCAACAAAACAAGTGGTGACAAGAATATTTTATTTTATCATATAGGCCATGAAAAAACACAAATAAATATAAATTCCCGTGAAGTTGGAATAATNCGTACTCCCTCCGTCCTATATCTTTCTTCCCGTTGCGCAAAACGAAGAAAAATCCCAAGTTTTTTCAATCTATTTTATTTAAATATTGGTATAGAAATAAAAAATAAAACATACATATTTAAAAACTACATCAAAAGTTCAACAAAACAAGTGGTGACAAGAATATTTTATTTTATCATATAGGCCATGAAAAAACACAAATAAATATAAATTCCCGTGAAGTTGGAATAATGCTCTGGGAAGAAAGTTTTAGGACGGAGGGAGTAGTATCTTTAGCTGAAATAGGCTACACATACATGTATCTCCTCTACTACCTGTATGGTTGCATCTCAGACACTGCCTCTCACATTCACGGATTCACCACATGCCTTCATTTGTTTTCAATATTGAAATTAAATGTTTTATCTTTAATCCCTCACTTATTTCCCCCGTTCAACGTGCATTTGGTTGTGTTGTTTTGTTTGTTACCTTACTCGTACATTTGGATATGTTAAGTTGCTCCTTAATAACTTTACTCCTAGCCTTGACAAGCTCTTTGCTAACTCAATTAAGTATACATTCATTAACTATTAAGTGTGTTTCTCTCAAGAAAAACGGGATAAGTACTATGAAAAAGTCCAAAAAGGAAAGTGTGACCAGTATTGCATAACAAAGGGAGTATAAGATAGATGTACAACTTTCTTTCATCTGATTTCAGAATTTTGTTCACAACATAAAAAAAACCACATGCATAGTGCATATTAATGACACAATTATAGACGTTTGAATCTAACAAAAACCTTCAAAGTTTGAACATGTAACACACTTCTTCCATTCTACGGAGTAAAATAGATGCAATGGTCAAGTTATTACACTATTCACATACTCTCATTAGTCAGTTGATCATCTTTTGTGATCTATATGCAAGGAAAGATATAATCATGTGAGATCTTTTAAGATTCGTCACGACATAAACTTTCATAATATCAAATTTTTAATAACACATAATTGAAGGTATTAATGAACATGCAACGCACTTCTTCCATTTTAAGGAGTAAAATAGATGCAATGGTCAAGTTATTACAGTAATTACACTATTCATACACTCTTATTAGTCATTTGATCTTCTTTTGTGGTCTATATGTAAGGAAAGATATAATCACGTGAGATCTTTTAAGATTCATCACGATATAAACTTTCATAATATCAATTTTTAATAACACATAATTGAAGGTATTAATGATTTAATGTGTGCATTAGCAAGCTTGAAAATTCTAATGTTGCAACTATTTTAGAACGGATGAAGTATATAAACTTGGTATCCCTTCAAAATTGCTTTGTACTCCCTTTGTTTTACAAAACAGTTCCGCCCTAACTTTTTGCGAATCCCACAAAACACTTTTACAGCCTCCTAAAATCCTTGTGTATACACCCCATTTTTTCTTTGTTGCGGGTAGAAGTTGTTTTTAGGATATTTCAGACATTTTAGGTGGGGTGGAAGTATTGTGTGGGATGCACAAAAAGTTAGAGTGGAACTGTTTTGTAAAACGGAGGGAGTACAGTTTAGAATTTCTATTTTTTTTTTGTCCTTAGTATCTCATTTATTTCATTACAAAACCATGTCATTGTCATTCTTGATGTCATAAAATTTATTTTTGGTGTTACTGGTTTGTAGGATACTTTCATGCTTCAAATTGAATCCATTTGAATATCTTAACCTACCATTCGATTCCTCCATTGATGATGTAAAACGACAATATCGCAAGGTAAGTTTCCTCAGGTGTTTCTCTTAAATGAAAGATAGTCAATGTCCAATTCCTTTATAATTGGCCTAATATACTCATGTAATTTATTATGTGTAGTTATCTTTGCTTGTTCACCCGGATAAATGCAAGCATCCTCAAGCAAAGGAAGCTTTTGGAGGTAAAAAATATTTGATCTTTCCTCTTCTTACATAAAAATGTAATTGTGGGTATTTCAAGTGTAAAAGGCATCATCTGTTTATTTGGCAATGCAATAACTTATGTGTTTGTACATCCATCTTTCATTCTTCTTTTCTTCGCTCCTCTGATGATCTTTTTTTGCCCTTTGCAGCTTTAGCAAAAGCCCAACAATTATTACTTGATCCACCAGAAAGGGATTATATTTTGAACCAGGTTCATGCTGCAAAAGGTTTGCTTCCCCCACGTTCATAAGTATTTCTAGGCATATATGGTTCTATATTCCTAATTCTTACATTGGAAATACTGTCTCTTTGTGTGGAGCTCAGAGGAACTAAAATTAAAGTGGAAGAAGCAGGTCAAGAAAGATACTGCTGCTAAGTTGAAGTCATTAGTTTCTGAGGTAACTATTGCATTTAGAACACCCCCCTCCCCCCCCTCCGCAATCACAACCACTCCACACAAAATACTCCATACATTGCATGTGTTCATTTTGGTTTAGTATAAAGTATTTAATAAGTATGAAGGGAGTGGGTACCTATTGGGGGCTTTCTTCTTACATGAAGGGAGTTACTCACAGCTCAAGCTTTTGCTTTGTGGCCGCAGAGCTTTATGATATTTTTAAGGACTTGAGAGGATTTTGTTTTCCATGGATAAGTAAGAACACAATCATGCTAGTTCGATAGTTCCTGAATTTTCTTGGGGATCATGGTGCTATGCCATTGTCGCATCATGTGTATAAGAATTAGGGTGTCATTCAGGAGTTTTATGGCTTAGATGAGTTGGTACCTGACAAATTAATCTTGTAATAAACTATTTCCGAAGGGATTATTTTGCTCGTACTATAGGTATGTGTTTGTGTACAACTGTACAAGTCTGTGCCATTTCGTTTCTCATTGTATTCCATCTCTATTTCTCGTCTTTATGATGATGATGGTGATAATAAGAATAATATTTCAAATCTACATCAAAAGTTCTATAAAACAAGATGTGAACAAAACAACAACAACAACCCAGTTGAATCCCACTAAAGATGTGACATGAATATTTTATTTTATCAAATAATCAATGAAAACACAAATAAACAAAAGTTATCGAGAGGCAAACATATTTCTGGATTTTGTGGGAAGGAGGGAGTAACAGAATATGAATTTGTGGTTTGCATGTATTTATGTAGTACAGAGTAATAATTAATATACATGTGTGCTCCAATTGTTCTTCTAGCTGTTGATTATAAGTCATAAGTATCCTATGTTCCCATGAAGTTAAGTTTAAGAGCATCATAATGTACCTTGACATATGTTCACTAATAGCACTAGATGTTCAGCACTTACTAATTTTTTTGACATGCTTGTCAAAAATGCCAGGGAAAATTTGAACAAGAATATGAACGATCAGAAGAATTCCAGCAGCAGCTAAAACTAAAGGTTCGAGAAATATTAACCGACCAAGAATGGCGGAGAAGGAAAATGCAGATGAGGGTATATTACTCCCTGATCTTATTATTATATCCAAACTATGTTCCATTTCCATCTTCCTACTTCTGGGTTTTGTCACATGACCTAAATAGTCTCTACTCCTATGCAGATATCTGAGGAGGAAGGTCGTTTAAAGAAGGACGAGGAAGAACAGAAGGAGATGTGGAAAAGGAAGCGCGAGCACGAGGAGCAGTGGGAAGGGACAAGAGAGAATAGGGTTAGTCTC